TCACAAAAGGAACCAACAGAAAAATTCCTTCTTCTGGATTAATTGATATATTACATGTACCTCTTGGCTAAGCCAGTTTTACTTAAGAGGTCTCTCTACTGAACCTGAAAATTCCCAAACTGGTGCAAAACACATCCTATAGTGAGAAATTCAACACATCCTATAATGAGAAATATTCCAGTGTGAATGACGGGGGAAAATGATTATTGATTTTTAAAGCATATTTAAGAATAATCATGAAGGCAAATAATGACAGTGTAGTCGCCATACTCCAAAATGGCAGCCTCTTATAAAGTGAGCAGCTGACTCCTGGCCGGTGGCACATACTTGCCGCAGTAATCTCTACCCGTTCCCACCTCAGCCTTGTCACAGCAGACACAGCAAAGAGCACTTCCTTCCATCAGAGGTCAATGGAAGATTTTAGAGTTTAACACAATATGGAAGAAGGTAAAACTAATGTCACTCATTTTAAATCTAGTAGAGACTGAAGTAAGACCAGTTTGCCTCTAACTCCCCGTCCATTTCTGGAGCGGATGACTCAAGACATAATCCTTTGAAAGACAGACTTTTAAAACACCAAGATACCCCAATATTACGGGACAGAGTCTTATATTCTCTCATAACATAGTATTTGGTTGTTTTCCTGAAAGAAAACAAGCCTTTAGAATAAACAATTGACATTTTATTTAACGCCAAAGAAATTTTGTTAATTACTAAAGAGTTCTTTATTTCATCTTTGGCACTTATCATTTTATTGGCATATATAAGGCCTTTGGGGGGTTTGTTTGTTTGTTTGTTTGAGACAGAGTGTCACTCTGTTGCCCAGCCTAGAGTGCAATGGCATCATCAAAGCTCACAGCAACCTCAAACTCTTGGGCTCAAGCAATCTTCCTGCCTCAACTACCTGCTTAGCTGAGACTACAGGCACCTGCCACAAAGCCCAGCTAATTTTTCTATTTTTAGTAGAGACCAAGTCTTGCTCTTGTTCAGGCTGGCCTTAAACTCCTGAGCTCAAGCGATCTCTCAGAGCTCAAGGGATCTCTCGCCTCAGCCTCCCAGAGGACTAGGACCACAGGCATGAGCCACCATACCCAGCTCATAAGGCCCTCTCCTATATCAAGATTCTAATATTTGATTTTTACACTGTAACCCATTGAACCATAGTTTACCCAAAGTTTCTTCAATTTGAGGCAGACAGTATATTGATAGTCTCCTAACTAACTTGGTAACCAGTGTTTTATAAAACACTCCAGCCTCTGAGGTAGGTTTGTGCCTTCAACTGTTTATAGTAATATGCTTCCAAGCCATCAGTAACAAGACATCTGTTCCAAAATAATTTCCTGAATTATTTATGTCACTACTAAAGCTATTTCTCCTCCCCTTGAAAACAGCTGCTTTACATACAATGAAAATATCATGATATTTAGCCAGCAAAGTTGATAAATAGTTCTGGTTTCTTTGAGCAGACCTATCATTGCCAATACACTAATTGGCTTCAGACATCTCACCCTTCTGCCCTGAAAGATTGTCAAGTAGCTGTTTAATTTTACAGTAAAGGTAAAATGCTGTTCTATTACTTCTCAATTAAAGGAATATTTTTCATGATTTTTATGTAAGTGTAATATTGTAATATTTTTCATAATTTTTATTTTAACTTCACAATCAGTAAGATCTCCCAAATAGCTGATAACATGATATTTGAAAGTCTGAACTTTTGTCTGCTTATTTTTTTCATGTAAGCTTAATATATTTAGCAAAAAATCTCCACATTCCACATCATCAAACCTTTCATCTTGTCGCAAAAGAAAAAAGGTGGAAAAATTTAAAGCCAATTAAGAGCCAGAATCAACTATTTTCAGCTTCAATTTTCAAATGTCAGTTTGGTTTTACCTAATTCTGGCAAATTTATATAGTGTAATTCTAAACTTCACTATTTGACATTTTCCCGAGGTAGAAAGGCAGCAGAAACTTTTCGCCATCTGTGTTGGTTTTGGAAACGGGCTCCTCCCATCCGCGGTCTGGGCAATACAGCGCCCCTGGTGATCTTTAACGGGGCTTTACTTTCACTGCTGCGCTCAGATTAGAATAACTGGGAATTTTCTGTAGCTGAATGTTCTGGAGACCAGCCATCCATGAACAAGGTACGAGCTACACAGACAGGTGACTTTCTACCTGCAACATACCACAAATAGGAATTCTGATTTAAGGAGAAGGAAACGGAATCGATTAAAAACATCACCACCAGCACCACGTAAGGTCGAGTCTGCGCTTGTGAATAGTCCATTTTCTGCTGAATCAGCTAATATTTCTGCACCTTTGAACTTCGAATTCCTACGGAGTTCGGTTTTTTCCAAAAGTCGGAAGGAAGTGTTGTTTGTTTTTCAGTATAAGGTGGTTCTGGCAAGAAAGAAAGAAAGAAATAAAGAAAGAAAGAAAGAAGGAAGGAAGGAAGGAAGGAAGGAAAGAAAGGAAAAAAGAAAGGATAATGAGGTTTAATTATAACCTGGTGGAGATGGGCAAAAAACACAGAATTAGCCAAAAACGGGGTGGAGGCGTTGCTGCCTGTCTGCCTGCAATGTGGCTCGTAACGGAGTCACTAAACTAAGCAAGAGACAGCGGGAGGAAGGCATAGATTCCATTGGCTCAACCCATATACAAGTACTGTAGTTGTTCTGTTTTGTATCAAGAGTTGTTTTTAAACAGATAATCGCCAGCTACCACCCTCACCAGTCCCCCCCCACCCAAAAAAAGAAAACCCTGAACTGGCCTCAAATGTACCGTTCTTTCTCTCTGTCCCCAACGCCCTCAGCAACTTTTGCTCTCCAGCTGTACTTGTTTCGGTATGAAACCTGACAAATAGCAAAAATCTTGGGGGGAGAAAAAGAGAGAGAGAAAGAGAAGGAGGGAAAGAGGGAGAGGGGGAGGAGAGAGAATTTGCCACCCTCCTGGCTCACTGAAATGCTTGTTCCCGAGATTACAGTAATTACAGCCCCAGCATGAGTTCCATACAAGCGCTAAATGAAACAGCACATCAATTAAAAAATAAACACTCCATTCTAGGAGAAAGACAACCCCCTGGGACGTCCTAACAAGCGTAAATGAACCTGCCAGGCCGCCGGCCCCTCGCCCGCTCGCCCTCCTCCCCGGTCCTCTTAAGGTGGCTGCGGAGCCGGCGGGGGCCGCGCTCGCTGGCGGGGTCCCAAGTGGCTGCTAAAAGCAGCTGGGTCCCGGCCCGGCTCCGTGCAGAGCGCGGGGACGTGTCCTCCGGTCCGCGCCAGGGAGCAGCCCCGCCTCCCGCGGTGGAAAAGGAGACTCTGGCCAAAACATGTGAACTTTGGATCGATGGATATATGTTTCCAAAGTACGAAGGGAAGAGAGAGAAGCCAGCAGCCAGAGTTTCCAGTCTGTCCTATTTATAAGTTTTTGTTTGGTTTGGAATTTTTAAGGAGAATGGAATGATTGGTCATAAGAAAGCAATGGGTCCCAGTGGTTTATACACTTTATCTCACCTAATTATCAACCCGCCGTGGAGAGCTGGGATATGATTACCCCCACTCTCCAGGTTAGCACACAGGCTCCCTCGGGTCACACGGCAGAGGCGGGAGGCAGTCCCAGGCCGGCACTTGTTCCCTGCGCCCCCGGCGCGCCCCCGACCCGGGGCCAGCCTGGTCGTTTAGGACAAACTGCAGTCGCTCCATTCTCGACCCCCGCCAACACCATCTCCAAACCTCAAAAACTATCTTTCTAAGGACCCCAGGAAAGGCACCCCTCTCCTGGTCCTCCTCAGCGCCGGTCCACGAGAGACCCCAGCAGGCTGGCTTGCTGCGGGGTCGGGGGGGAAGCGCGGGACCCCTACCGCCCTCCGGGCCCCGTATTCGAGGAGGGCGAGAGGCAGGGGCTTGACTGATTTGAAATAGGCCAGGGAGGTGCGTGCTAGGTGAAACCCCGTCCCAGTCCCCAAGTGAAGTGCAGACTCAGGGAAATGAAACCAAAACCTCAGACGCACTGAGCGCCGTGGGGACAATCCTGGCAAACGCTCTTTCTTTGCGGTCAATCCCAAGGTTACCCGAACTCCCCATCTGCAGAAAGCGCGCCTGGCAGTGCCGGCACTTGGTGACCGCCTTAAGGAAGGCTGAGCCTCAGTGGCGCGTAGGCTCCGCCCCGTTGCTGGGCTATTGGCGCGCCGGGCTGGGGGCGGAGACCGAGTCCGCGCTGTATAAATATTCATGAGCCAGTCGCGAGGCGCTAGCGGGGCTGGAGCCGGGAAGTTGAGCTAAGGGCGCTGCTCCCGCCTAGGAGGCGGCGGCGGCTGGCGCGGGCCGCGCCACTCAGGTGTCCGCTGCCCCTTCCAGTCTGGATTTGCTTTGGGGTCTAGCGGGAAGGGGACTGCTTGCGCCTCCTCCGATTGCGGCTGAAGCACCGCGCGGACTTTCACCGGAGGCGGAGTCCGTGTGTCCGGACAGAGGACGGACGTCTGAGAAGGAGGGCGGCGGTCTCAGCAGAGGCGGGTCCCGAACTCGAGCGGCGGCAGTGTGGCCTTGGGGGCGGGCATGAGCCCCCGGGGGCCGAGAGGGGGCCGCCTGGGCTGACCCTGAGCCGCTAGCAGCCCGGCCCAGCCATCTTGACTGCGCACCGCGGCCCGAAAGGAAACTTGCTGCGCCGCCGCCCTCTGTGCCCGGCAAAGTCACCGCCGCCGGGCGCTGCCTGGAGAAGTGGCCAGGCGCTCGGGAGAGGAAGCCAGGAGTGCGGGACGATGAGCGGAGGGCTGGCCACTCTGCTCCGAGAGGGCTGAGCGCGACTCGGAGTGAGAAGAACAGACCCTCTGGGACTGTGGCGCGCGCCCACGGCCGCCTTCAAATCCCTGGAGTGGCAGAAAGGAGGTCCGGAAGGCCCCTGCTGGAGCGGCGGACCGTGCCCCTGCGGACGCGTCCTGAGAAGGAGCTAGATTATCTGCAGACCACCCGCTCCCGGGAGAGACAGAAGGAAGACCCGGCAGCTCCCCCGCTCTCCCCCTCTCCGGTTCTCTCGCTGAGCTCCCCAGTATCCCTCTGCGCGCCGCCTGGAGAGCGAAGGCACAGGGCCGAGGCGCGCAGCATGGAGTGGGGTTACCTGTTGGAAGTGACCTCGCTGCTGGCCGCCTTGGCGCTGCTGCAGCGCTCGAGCGGCGCGGCGGCCGCCTCAGCCAAGGAACTGGCGTGCCAGGAGATCACCGTGCCACTGTGCAAGGGCATCGGCTACAACTACACCTACATGCCCAACCAGTTCAACCACGACACGCAGGACGAGGCGGGCCTGGAGGTGCACCAGTTCTGGCCGCTGGTGGAGATCCAGTGTTCGCCTGACCTCAAGTTCTTCCTGTGCAGCATGTACACGCCCATCTGCCTGGAGGACTACAAGAAGCCGCTGCCGCCCTGCCGCTCGGTGTGCGAGCGCGCCAAGGCCGGCTGCGCGCCGCTCATGCGCCAGTATGGCTTTGCCTGGCCCGACCGCATGCGCTGCGACCGGCTGCCGGAGCAGGGCAACCCCGACACGCTGTGCATGGACTACAACCGCACCGACCTCACCAC